CCCCGCCACAGACAGGGTCTCTCTGTGTAGCCCTGGCTATCCTGGAACTCACTCTGTAGAGGTTGGCCTTGAACTCAGAGATCCACTGGCTTCTGCCTCCCAAACGCTAGGACTAAAGGCTTGTACCACCACTACCCAGCTAAAGTAAACATTTTTAAAAAAACCCAAACATCACTTGTTTTTCCCTGAGTAATACAGGCTAAAAGTTGAACCCTTCTACCCTCACACAGAGATATTTTCTGGGCAGGGAATTTCCAAGCAAGCATGCAGAAGATGAGTGTCCTGGGTGAAAGGTCTAAGCAGACAGTATAACAAGACCATCCCCATAGAAACAGTAACAGGACCCTTCTCCAGCCACTGGCTGCCACAAACAAATATTGGGAATAAACTAGCTGCACTGGTGGGCTCTGGGTTCCCCATGATATAAATTAAGCAAAACAATCTAGAAAAAGTGAGACAATCAGGAGGTGACCTCACGTGGCCTCTATGTGCACCTGTATCTGCTCACATGCACATGTACAACCCACATTTAAATAAGCATGAGTGACGGAAAGATGGATTTGTATCATTAGAATTGGGCTTGATTCTCACCTTCCACAGGGCAACTCACAACCACGTAACTCCCGTCCCAGGGAATCTGACCCCTCTTCTGGCTTCCATAAAAACTGTGCGCGCGCGCGCACACACACACACCACCACCACTCATGCTGGCACAATACCCATACACATATAAAATGAAGGTGACACTTTCTTTTTGGTGATTTGCCTGAATATATGTGTGAGGGTATTGGATCCTAGAGTTACAGGATCTGTTTGAGCTGCCATGTAGGTGCTGGGAATTGAACCTGGGGTCACTGAGTCATCTTTCCAGCCCCAGGGGGGAAAAGTTTTTATTTTGGCTTTTCCATACAGGGTAGCCCTGGCTGCCTTGGAATTCACTGAGGACCAGGCATTGCCATCACCACTTGTTGAATGCTCCTCACAGTGTCTGGAACTTCTCTGTAGGGTCCTTTTGCTTTCTATGCTTCAGTGCTGGGGTACAGCCAATGCATTTTGAAAATCTTGTTTCTTAGAAATCTAAAATTCACCGGGCATTGGCACATACCATTAATCCCAGCACTGGGGAGGCAGAGGCAGGAGGATCTCTGTGAGTTCGAGGACTGCCTCCAAAGCAATACAGAGAAACCCTGTCCTGAAAAACCACATAAATAAATAAATAGATAAATAAATATTTTATAGAGTCTCACATATACAAACAGAATGCTTACAGCAGCACAGTTTCTAACAGGAAAAGTTTGCATACCTGAATGCCATCAACAGTACAGATACACGAACAGTAATGCATTCACACAACAGAAGCACGGCAGTGCTGTCCAGGAGAACTTAGACGGGGTAGGTCATGTGTGCATGCCGTGCAACTCCACTGCCAGCAGCTACCGGTGCACATCAAGCACTAAAGGTATCTGTTTTAAAACTGTATTTAGCATTAGACAGCTCTATGTGGCTAGCAACTGCCATGCAGGACAGCTGAGCTCCACAAAGACACACAAACAGATGGCCTCACCAACACAACGCTGCTTACAAAGCAGGTGGCGAGGCAGCACACATGCAACACAGAACCAGCTCTGAAGTCCTAGAGACACGGAGAGCAAGTGATTGCTTATACCGAGAGAGCAAAGGCTCAGCCACACCAGAGGAGTTTGCTACTGTAACTCAGTCGTATACATGGTGCTAGCTAAGAGCCTTAGTTTATGCTTAAACTCCTGTATAGAAACTTTAAACCAGTTTAAACAGTAAACCAGTTATTTACTTCAGGTGTATGAATGTTGTGCACCACACGCATGCCTATTGGACCCTCTGAAACTGGGGTCCTCTGCAACAGCAACATGTACTCTTAAATGCTGAGCCATCTCTCCAGTCCCCAAAGTTGACTTCTTTATATCTACAAACATATGATTCAACTCAAAGGCAAATAAGGGCGAGCGGGAGCCTGCCCCTTTCAGGTGTCTTTTGTTTCTGGTTTTTTTGTTTTTTGTTTTCCTGAGACAGGGTTCCTCTGTGTAGCTCTGGCTGTCCTGGAACTAGCTCTCTAGACTAGACTGGCATCGAACTCACAGAGATTCTCCTGACTCTGCCTCCCAAGTACTGGGATTAAAGGCGTGCGCCACCACTGCCCTGCTCAGGGGTCTTTTTAATCCATTCACACCCCCTAGCAGCCCCAGAGTCCCATGTTTAGTTGTAAAATGTTGCCGAGAATACAGAAAAGGATTAGATTATTAGGCTAACACTGAGAATGTGGGTGTCTAATGAAGACAGTGTTTGTTCTGTAATGACTGATAATCTGCATGTAGCGGTACACGAAATACAATGTAATCCACATATTTACACGTGTCAGGTAGCAGTGGCAATAGGTGCGATGGTACACCCTAAAAACTCAGCATGCTGAAGCAGGAAGGCTGAAAGGACAAGGCCTCTTTGGGTTCAAATTCAGCTGGGGTATCTTTTTTGAATTGTGGAGAGAGAACAAGAGGGCAGGGATGAACAATCGGGTAAAGCCTTTCTGTGTTCACAGGAATTGAGTAGTTTTCCCTCAAGGCAAGTCACCACTCCCCATCTAGGCTAACTGTCCTCCCCGGAAAAACCTGGTACCAGTATCCCGCCAAACGCTGCAGAAACCAGGGCATTGCCTACCTCTAAACCAGTAGTTCTCAACTTTCCAATGCTGCAACCTTTTAACACAGTGCCTCATGTTACAGTGACCCAACAAGAAAATCTTCTGTTTTGGTCTTGCAAGACAGGTTTCTCTATATAGTTTTGGCTGTTCCGGAAGAACTGAATCCATAACCAGACTGGCCTCGAACTCAGAGAGCTACCTGCCTCTGCCTCCCGTGTGCTGGGACCTAAAGGCTTGTACTACCACCACCCTGCCGTCATAAAACCATTTCCATTGCTACTTCACTACTCTAATTTAGCCACTGCGTTTTCACCAGGCGTTGGTGGCGCACGCCTTTAATCCCAGCACTCAGAGGCAGAGGCAGGCAGATCTCTGTGAGTTCGAGACCAGCCTGGTCTACAAGAGCTAGTTCCAGGAGAGCCTCCAAAGCCACAGAGAAACCCTGTCTTGAAAAACAAAACAAAACAAAACAAAAAAAAAACAAACAAAAAAAAAAGAAACTCCTATGTAAGGGTCATTTGTCCCCCAACAGGTTGAAAACCAATGGATCTTGACATCTGAGAAGAGCCACAACCTTCACTGGCCTGGAGGTTCCTGTCTTGACAACTCAGTTCCTGATCAAATACCTTCATCCTTGGAATTCTGTTCTCTCTGATCAAGTACAAAAACCAATGATCTGTAAAATTCATCCATTTAGTTCATCACCGTCCATTTCATACGAGGTTTAAAATGACAAAGGTCTCCTTCAGGGTTGTCATTTTCTGCTGCAGGAAGCGCTACCACACTGAACTGTATTTCCAGACTATGACTGTGCTAAAGACTGGCCTAGAGCCCAGTGTTGGTGGCTCACACCTTTAGTCCCAACATTCTGGAGGCAGAGGCAGGTGGATCTCTGTGAGCGAGATCCAGGACAGGCTCCAAAGCTACGCAGGGAAACCCTGTCTCGAAAAACCAAAAAGACTGGCCTAGGAAGATGGATGCCAATTAACAAAAACTTCCCTGTCCTTATACTAAAATATATTTTAAAAGCTTGCTCGTTTATTAATTTGTTTACTTATGTATTGTGTGTTCACATGCAGACATACGGAAGTCAGAGGCCAATTTGTAGTTGATTCTCTGCCCCACCAAGTGTCCTGGAGATCCAGCTTAGAGGTCTTCTACTTTGGTGGTCCCTTTACCCACCACACTGCCATCTTACCAGCCCAGAGACCAAAATCTACAGGGAAGATTAGGGCTGTAGCTCAGTGGTAACACATGCACATACGCGCAGAGTAAACAAGTGTAATTTAAAAACCAAAATATCAAAAAAGTTGCTAGCAAACTCCTGAATGCCAGCTGCTCCCGTCAGACGGTTCCTGCCCTAAGTATCACAGGCAAAGTGTGCTAGAAAGGCCTGAGCTTCCTAGATGTGTGAAAACCACAAGCTCTGTTTTTCCTCTTTGTTTTTTGAAGTTTCTAATTTAGGAGCACACCATGTACCTTGAACCCAAAGTGGTTTTACAACATTTGATTGAACCTAGGACAAGTGGGAGGAGAGGGGGACTGACAGACCTTTTACAGGAAACGGGAGCCAGCGGCTTCCCCCACCCTGTCCTGCAATCTCTTAGAGCTCAACTAGCAATTCTGTACAATGTAGGAAGCCTTAAAATCTGGGTGGAGGAACTTCTCAACAGGAAAGAACTTCAAAATCCCAGGGCTGCTTGGCCTGCTGGGATTCACCTTTGAGCCCAGCACTCATATAGGCAGGAAGATTTGGGTGAGCATGGTCTACATGACCTGTGTTACAGGTCAGTCAGGGCTGCACAGTGATAACCTGTCTCAAAAAATTAGGAATAAAATAAAATCCCAAGGCCCTCTCTGCCAACATGGAGAAGCTGTTACCACCAGGTGGCAAAGCCACAGGCCCAAACCCTGCCACACCCTGTGCTTGCACTGTGTTAGTGGTGAGACTCACAAAGCCAAGGTCTGGAATCCAGGGGATTGTCAGAAGGAATGTGCTGCATGCTGTGCGCCCTCGAGGGCTCAGGGCTGGAATCCTAGCTCAACAGTCCCATTGTAACAGCTGACTAACAATGTCAGCTGGAGAATATTTTGATATCTTCAATCTCTGTCCCCTGTAAAGGAAGACACTGCACAAAAGGCAAAGCGCCGGCAGAGCCCTCAGGAATGGCACACCAAGGCTGCCAAGTACTGGCCTGGGCTCCCCACATTCTCCTCATAGTGAGATAAAGTGGCTCCCAAAAGAGGCTTCCATGTCCACCCCAGAGGGCACCACCAGAAGTGATTCCAGGGACACCTCCAGCTGTGAATGGCTAACAAAGCCAGGGCTTTTTCTCTCTGAATGCAAAAAGCAGGCCTCAATCAAAGAAGGCCCTTAAGCCATAAAGTCCTTCACAACAGGGCCAAATGTCACACTAGTAAGAGGGTGTGATTTATAAACTGACAAGAGCCGCCCACAATGCTCCTTTTGTGCCCTCCATTTGTTGACAATGTCTCTTCCCCCACCAAACTCAGGCAGCCATGCAGAGAAAGCCGGACTGGGCCTCAAAAAGAAAGGACCCCAGGTTTGGCCCAAACTCCAATGTTCACTCTGCATAATTCCAGTCCTGTGAATAGACCCTAAAATTAGAGCTAATAATTCCTCTGCATCAGGCCCACAGCTAAAGCCGTCCCAACACAGACACAGAAGTACGGGAAAGGAAAGGAAAATGCACAGCTCTGCCTCGCTGGAGGCCCCAGGCCCACTGCAACTTTAACTGGACACTCCAGCAAATAAGTGAAACAAGCTTGCTGTGTCTGGCTGTCATGGTGCTACACCAGAACAGTACCCGAAGCAACGGGAACAGACTGCCACAATTGTAAAGGATTTCTAATTTTCTTAAGAAAAATCTCATTTGGAAAATAAACCCATTTTCTTCTGATGGAAGAACAGCAGCTGCTATACTGTTAGCTGGGCAGAGTCGATGCCGACAAGGCTCCCCTCACACACACTTACCAAGGCCTAACCCCCCCCCCGCCCCAGGGTTTCTGACCCAGGCTCTTGGCATCACCTTTTTGACCATGGTTGTCTCAGATGAATCCAGCTTTGCTCTCTTGGTGTCAGGTCCATCTTCTACTACTTGACTAACTTTGGCAACTTTGGTTTTCTCTCTAGAGTGACAAGAGAAGGAAATCAAGTTTGAGCCACGAGTCACATGACTGGAACATGAATTTCAAGAAATGCTATCAGCTAACAGGTTATGTATGTGGAAAAGCAAAAAAGCAGAGTTCGAGGCCAGCCTGGTCAACACAGTGAGTTCCAGGACAACCAGGGCCACACAGAGAAACCCTGTCAGGAAAAAACAAACCGCAAGACAACTTTGGGGTCAGTGGGTTCTTCGACCACTGAAGACATGGTGAGCAAGTTAACCATTCTGAGAATAGGTATCCCTGGTGTGATTAAGGGAATAGGAAGGTGTAAACAAACTTCTCAGCATAAACAAACATCCAGAGCCCTGGTTTTGCAAACATTCTTGAGGAACTGTGACCTAAAGAACCAAACCTGGGCCAGGGGGTGGTGGCACAAGCCTTTAGTCCCAGCAGTTAGGACTCAGTCTGTGAGTTCCAGACCAGCCTGGTCTACAAGAGCTAGTTCCAGGACAGCCTCCAAAGCCACAAAGAAACCCTGTCTCGAAAAACAAAAAAGAACCAAACCTGGCCAAGCATGGTAATGCACATCTTTAACCCCAGCACCTGAGAAGCAGAGGCAGGTGGAGCCCTGTGATTTTGAGGCCAGCCTGGGAGTTCCAGGACAGTCAGGGCTGTTACACACAGAATCCTTATCTCAAAATAAAACAACAACAAAAAATAAATAAAATAAAATGCTTAACCTAATTCCTCCTTCTGCTGTGGGAATCTCAAGCTAGAATAGCCCAGCCTGCTTTTGTTATAATGGCTCAATGTATAACACTCCTAGAACCAGATCTTTCTAAAGTTTCTGCATGACTAGGAGAGGAGAGGTAATGGTTAGAACAACTTTCTTTCTGAGACAGGTTTTTTTCTGTGTAGTCCTGGAACTCACTCTGTAGACCAGGCTGGCCTTGAACTCCAATCCACCTGCCTCTGCTTCTCGAGTACGCCACCACCATATGGTTCAAAGTTTCACTTTACAGACAAGAAACTTGTGGGCCAGAGACATGCCAATGCCTTGCTAAAGAGACTAAACAATGAGAGACTGTCCCATCGGGCCTCGGTCACTCATTTGCAAGGTAGACTTCAGATGGAGAGACGTGGGGGAGAATATGGTAGCCAAATAACCAGCTTATATACTTGTATAATCTCTATTGTCTGCCATCTTTCACTTAGAGACTCTAAAGAAAAACTACTGCAGGTCTTGTTCTGTGAGAATCATTAAGCTCTGCGGTCTCATGTTCAAAATGAGGGGGGTAAGGTCTGTGCTCCACCACAGTAGACTCTGGACCTTGGAGCTTTTCCAAGGCAAACTGAATGCGCCCAAAGACTACCCACTTAACCAGCAGGAACTCTCTCCACCATCTCTCAACATGAAAGCACCCACTAGGGATCAAGTGTTTAAAACCCAAGCTCGCCTTCCAAGGACAGCACCCGTGAGTTCCCGTCCTGAAGTTCAGGAGTCTGGGATACCCATACAATGCACCTTGTCCACAACTCTTCCTTCCTGCTTTCTGCTTCAGATGACATCATCGTTTTTGAAGGATGGGGTCCACATATCTCCTAAAATTCTGAACCCACGGAAAGGAATGGTAGTCTTTGATCCTAGCACCCAGGAGGCAGAGTTAGGTGGATTTCGGAGTTGGAAGCCGGCCTGGTCTACAGAGCTAGTTCTAAGAATGCCAGACAGAAACCCCGTCTTAAAAACAACAACAACAAAAATGTGAACCCACAAAGCACGCTACTCAGGAATCGGTTAATCGCTTGTTTCAGAATGTTGTATTATAGCAAAGCAAGCTACTTCATTAGGGCAGGTCATTTCCTACCACAAACACTATTCTAACTGTGGAAACGTCCCCTACTGCCCTCTCCTCCCAGCACTTACTCTACAAACTCATGCTCTCCAAGATTTGCAAAGGTGTACCCATGGTACCCAAAGACATCTCCTGTGAAAAACTTGATGCTGTTTCTGTGACAGAACTGGTCGACTTTAACAATGACATCCCTGGAGCAGCAAGTCAGGCACACCTGCAGAGAGAGACAGGAACTGGCTGGTAAGAGCTGAAAACTGTGAATCATTGCCCTGCTGTCTACATAAATCTTAAATTAAGTGTCTCTCCAGCAGGCTTCAGACCAGTTTCAACAGGTACAACAGGTTCTTTGGGTGCTATGATTAAAAGACCAGAGAGAAGTTGAAGGTTTCAGGGTGCTGAAAATGTAAATGATATGGCGGCCACTTCTGACAACCTTAGTTATTAGGATTTAGCTGGAATTTTTACCACTCAAGGATCTGTTCCCTTAATCCAAGAACATACAGACTATACCTCACACTTCTCAGGAAGACAGCAATATCAAGGTAATCTAAACTATTATCTAATTTGTTAAAATCAAGCTTTTTCTGGTGGCAAGTAAAAACAGTTTTTTTGTTTTTGTTTTTAACTGACCCAAAGGTCATGTTTGAGGAAAACCTCCCCAACACACACACATACACACACAAACTTTTTTACTTTTTGTTTGTTTGTTTTTCAAAATAAGGTTTCTCTTTGTAATAGTCCTAGCTGTCCTGGAACTCACTGTTGTATGTAGACCAGGCATGCCTCTATCTCCCAAGCACTAGATGTTTTTGTTTTTGTTTTTTTAATGTGTGTGACCAAGTGTGGTAGCACACAACTATAATCCTAGCACTCAAGAGGCAGGGCAGAGGCATCCTGATCTCTAAAGAATTCAAGGCCAGCCTGGTCTACAGTGTGAGTTCCAGGACAGCTAGGGATCTGTAGAGAGATTCCGTCTTAAAAACAAACAGGAAAAAAAGTCACACGCACTGACATAGAATTTAGCCTTTTCTTCCTCCTCAGCATTGAGAGTAGATGAGGCTGGGTTTGCCTCATGTGGCTTGTCATTGTAGTTATTCTGTCCAGTCCATGGCCACAGTGGCACAGACACATCAACATTACACAGATGTTGGGTTTTGGTGATCTTTAGCATTTTTAAGACAAAGGCAGCCAGTCGGGCATTGGGGTCGCACACCTTTAATCCCAGCACTCGGGAAGCAGAGGCAGGCGGATCTCTGTGAGTTCAAGGCCAGCCTGGTCTCTAGAGCGAGGGCCAGGCCAGCCTCCAAAGCTACACAGAGAAACCCTGTCTCGAAAAAACGAAGAAAAAAAAAAAAGAGAGACAAAGGCAGCCATGCATGGTGGTGCATGCCTTTAATATCATTATTTGGGAGACAGAGGCAGGTGGATCTAAGAATTCGGGGCCAGCCTGGTCTGCAGAGGGAGCTGTAGGACAGCCAGGGTTGCATAGAGAAAGTCTGCTCAAATCCTCACCCCGCTCCGCTCCATTCTTGTGTAGCTCAGGCTGGCCTCCTCAAACTCAGTTTTGCTCTCCTATTCTTCCTGCCTCCATGTTGAGATTATAAGCATGTGCTACCAAGCTTGGCTAGGTATGCTCTAATTTCTTAGCACAAAACACAAGCTGCAGCTTGATATTTCTAACAAATAAGTGCAGCTGGCAACAAAATTAATCAGGAGAACACATGAACAAAGATTCTGAAGGAAGATAAAAATACTAATGCTAAAACTTAGTCTGAGGGAACATAAGCCCAGACAGAGAAGCAGCCAGTAGACAGCAGGCACCTCACAAACAGCCACAATAGGCCCAACAGACTGGACCCACACAGGAACATATTTAATGTGTCAAGCCCAAAGAACAGAAGTTTACAAATGTACATGAGAGGAACGCTCAGAGTGTGTGATTTGAAAGCTCTAGCATACATACAGTTAATCTTGCTATGTAGTCCTGGCTGGCTTCAAGCTTGGAGCAGTCCTCCTTGCCTCTGCCCCCAAGCACTGGGGTCACAGTGTGAGCCCACACTGAGCTCTCCCACCAGACTTAGCACTAAGAGACTCACCGCATCAAACTGAGTGAAGAATGCCTCAGGTTTCTTCTCTATGTCCTCAGTGTCCATCCTTACATCCACCATGGGGTTCAGATTCTGGGCTCGTTCCAGAGAGGCCTCAGCCCTATTTTGGCCTACAGACCCAGTCCGAATTAAGAACTGAGCTCCACAGTCTTCTGGAGATACCTAGAAAAAAATTTTTTTCTCCTTAATTCTTGAGTCTTTCTGGAATGTAAATCTTAAAGACAACGAATCTACATGGATACTCAAATGCCCACAACCAACTGATATTATTATTCCTATAGAAATCTGTCTAAACTATGTGTGACCTTTAATTTTAGTACTGGGAAGAGGCGGGTGGATCTCCGAGTTCGAGACCAGCCTGGTCTACAGAGTCCAGGACAGCAAGGGTTACACAGAGAAACCCTGTCTCAAACAAAAGGAGGAGAAGTTAACTAGTATCACATCACCAAGGCAAAATCTAGGAAATGTTTGCTCAGGGTCAGCACAGAGAAGATGTGGTCCAGAGGGAGCCAAGATCACACCTTGAACTTGCAGCCAAACTTGACAATGTGTATGAGTCCCCCAGAGGTCTTTGAATCCCAGAAGAACCTGAGTGGAAGAAGGCTGACACCAAACTTTACACTGCTGGACTTTGGCGTTGTTTCGAATGTACTGGGTTTTGCCCTCTTAAGAGTAAGGAAGCAAACTCTGGGTATTTTAGAGAAACCTTGAAAGGTATTTTGAAATTTAAAGAAACTGAACTTTTAAAGAGTTTGAATTTTTAACTACCGTGGAACTTTTGAAAAGTGGGATGGCCAGGTGGTGGTGCCTCACTCCTTTAATCCCAGCACTCTGTGAGTTCGAGGCCAGCCTAGTCAACAGACTGAGTTCCAGAACACGCTCCAAAGAGCGTGGGCCATAGGCTTCAAGGCCACACAGAGAAACCCTGTCTCAGAAAAAAAAGTTGGGATTTTTATATTATATTAACATCATACTGAGGATGAATTTGATAGGAAAAGTTATAGTTGAATAGTGATGTCAGTTTGTCAACTTGACACAAGCTAGAATTATTTGGGAAGAGCAAATTCAAAATGAAAAAAATGCCTTCATCAGATTGCCTACAGGCAAGCCTTCGGGGGCATTTTCTTGATTAATGATTGATATAGAAGGGCTCAGCTCACTGTGGGTGGTGGCACCCTTGGGCAAGTGTTCCTAGATTGTCTAAAAAAGTAAGCTGAGCAAGCCAGTAAGCAGCATTCCCTATGACCTGTGTCACTGACTTCCCTCAGTCATGGAGTGTGACCTGAGAGTTGCAGCTGAAAGAAAATGTTTTCTTCCCAAGTGCTTTTGGTCAGTGTTTATCACACCAACAGGAATCCTAAGACAGGCTCCTACTCTCTTCTTTCTTCTGAGGCTTCAACACAGGATGTAACTTTTTTAAACTTGTCATTGATGGTTAAATAGCACCCCCTTGTGTTGACAAGGGAAACTCTCTGCAAGCAAAGTCTAAGGTCTCTACTTAAATTTGTTCTGATTTTTTGGGGTTTTTTTTGTTTTTGTTTTTTTTTCCAGACACAGGGTTTCTATGTGTAGCCTTAGTTGTCCTGGAACTCACTCTGTAGACCAGGCTGGCCTCGAACTCAGAGATCCACCTGCCTCTGCCTCCTGTGTGCTGGGATTAAAGGCGTGAGCCACCAAGCCTGGTTTAAATTTGTTCAGATTTTTAACTGCTAACAAAAGGACTGGTTGGTTACTAGTGCTCAGTAACAAAGGGCTTTCCTAGCACACACAGGACCCTGAGTCTGACCTCCCTGAATTGGAGGCATGCCATCCCAGGTGGGGGAGTGGAGGAAAGTAGAGAAACTGACTTGATTATTAAAGGTCAGAGGAGCCTCAAAGACTAGGCAGGACTACTAGTAAGCAGATTCTTTATCATTCAAAGTATTTCACATACAAAATATCTAACTTAGCAAATGACTTTACCACCTCACCAGAACGAATAAGCCATCTCCTTGAAGGAGAGGATGTAATTTTATCACTAGACCCAAGATAAATGATAAATGGGTGTTTATTGGGGACAATTACACAGAAAAATACAAAGAACCGCTGGAGCGTTTCCCTGCCCTTCCTACCACATCTGCTAAGCCACCAGAAAGAACAGGCCAAGGCAAGCCATGCCTCAAGCGCCTCTCTTTCTGCTTCCATCTGCCTGAAGCCACATCCAAAGGGGTGTGGCTGAAGTTTCAGGTCCAAACATTCCCACCACCCCAATCTCCTAACAAATATCCAAAGCACCCATTCTCAGTATCAAGAAAATGGGCCATAGGCTCCAAGGCCACACAGAGAAACCCTGTCTAGAAAAAAAAAGAAAAAGGGCCAATTTTTCAGAGCAACCCTCTACCAGTGTCATGTTTTTTAAGTCACCACATCCTATTCTTCAGGGATCATTCCCTATTGCAAGGCTGGAATCTATGATTAAGGGCAACGGTCCTTAGCCTTCAGGTTAGATTCAAATCCTCAATTCAAATCTTGGTTCAACCACTGACTGTTATTACCTCCATGTACAGAGACACCTAATGCCAACCACATAGTCTTCCACCTCCCTGAGCTCTCGAGGTGTGTGTGCTGTGATTCTGACACCATGTCACAAGAGTACCAAGGGCTGCCCAGTGCTGCACTCTCTAGCTCCATAAGGCCCTCTAAGGTACAGCTGTGCCCAAGAGTCTATCTCAGGACCCTTCATTTCACTCCACAGAACAACTCACTGACCTACAGCCAGGTCCACATGATTCCACCACCTTCTAAACTATTTTGTACCACTGCCTCCCGAGAGTGTTCTTAGGGGAACTGCAGGAGAAAAAGCACGGTGTATTTATGGACTGTTAAAATTTACCTGAGCTAGTTAAGCTGACCGACATTAGACTACAGGAAGTCCATTAGAAACCACACCTAACTCTACCCATGGAGTGCTTTTTATTATCACTGCCCGAGTTCTCCACAATGTAGCTGGGGCTGAGGACCACTACTTCAAAAGGGAGAAGGCACTGTGGCCCTCCAAGTGTGTAGAGGAAGAAAATCAGCCTGTGCCTCGCAACACTGGGCAGCCCTTGGCACTCTTCTGACATGGTATCAGAATCACAGCACACCCCTTGGTGTAACTGGGACCCACTGGAGCCCCCCAGTCAGAGGATGGCTAAGGAAATCCACTTACACTGTCGTCAGAAGAGCTGCCAGTTACAGTGTCCTGGTGGGAGAAGTGGTGTACTCCCCGTCCTCTGCATGTGCTCCTGCCTCTAGAGGGCACTGGAATCTGAGACGCGGCCTTTGTCTTGACAGCTTGCTCACAGAAATGTAGCATTTCCTTAGGTTTTTCTCATTTTTAAGTGCTTTTTGCCTGAGTTTTGGTATGTAGCCCATGATGACTTCAAACCTACTCCTGCTTCTTCACAGCTGGGATTACAGGAATGTGCCACCAATGTACCATCAGTTAATACTGGGTGCTCACTGTTCTCCTCTGTGGAAGCAATCTACCTTCTCTTTGATTCAGTATTTTTCAAAGTAATGTTAGTGAACCATATACATCAAGATTATTGTGACTTTTTTTTGAAAGTGTAACTTATGTATCAAAAGCTAGGCTTGAATTTGCAACCCTGCCTCAATCTCCCGAGTGTTGGGATTATAGATAGGCATGTGCCATCACATCGAACTGAGACATCCTCTAAATGTGCCCATTCCTGAACCACCCCAGAACTTCTGGGGCAGCAGCTCAGAAGGGAAGGCTACACGTGAGGCTTTAGTCTCCCGCCCACAGCGCCGCTGAACCTGGATATGAGCTGCAGCACTCCCAGCACTGCATCCTGAGGGGAGACAGGGCGAGCAGAGGGAGGGATGGGGGAGGGATGCACACCTGTTCATGATCCAGCATGGTCAGTCCCTTCACTCCTGCCAGGATAAGGTTCTTGGCAATTTCAGCCCCAAGCCCTTTCATTCCAACAATCAGCACCCGGGAAGCACGAAGCCTGTAAGACACACACACCATGTTAACGTGATTAACTCCAAATAGTGGCACTTGCTCAATCACAGGACAATAAAGAAAACTTTATTTTCACTAAAGTACTGAAGTACCACTGAACCTTCAGACCTAGAAAGTGGGTTCCAAACCATCCTGCACAGAACATTACTTTTTTTGGCTTTTCGAGACAGGGTTTCTCTGTGTAGCTTTGGAGCCTATCCTGGCACTCAGTCTAGAGACCAGGCTGGCCTCGAACTCACAGAGATCCACCTGCCTCTGCCTCCCGAGTGTGGGGACTAAAGGCGTGAGCCACCAACACCCGGCTGAGGAGATGCTTTTTAAACAAATCAACATATAGATAACTGAAAATAAAGAATCCTAACTGTAGAAAACAGAACCTATAAAACACACAAGCTCAGGAAGGGGAAGCTTGGCTCAACTTGTTTCAGAGACAGCAAGAACACAGAGGCTGAAAAGCAGTGCACAAAGGACACATGCCAGGTCTGAGAGAGAATGGGCATGGCATGAGAGCTTGGTGGGCACTAGAAGGGTTCTGAACTCAATTCTAAGCCATATGGTAAGAAGATGATGTCACAGTTAACTGAAGACTGAGGGTGGTTATGTGTGCTTACCCACTCAGACTAGCACGATAACCAAAGAGGTGGGAAAAGGGCAAGCATATTTTATGGAACAGCAGACTGAATTCAGGGGCTCTTGCATAGCAGGCAAGTGCTTTACCAATGAATTATAACCCCAGCTCAGCAAAAGCATTATTTAATCTGGAACACATAAGCAAAACACATGGTTGGCATGACTGTGTGTTTAAGGATATGAAGGCGTGGCCAGGCACTGGTGGCGCTCGGGAGGCAGAGGCAGGCTGATCTCTGTGAATTTGAGGCCAGCCTGGACTACAGAGCGAGTTCCAGGACAGCCTCTAAAGCAATACAGAGAAACCCTGTGTTGAAAAACCAAAAAAAAAAAAAAAAAAAAAAAAACCAAACAAACCAAACAAACCAAGCCCAAAACACCTAGGGCTTCATGCATGCACGAAGGCAAGCAACTGCGTTACAACTCCAGCTGATAAAATCCACAGCTCACATAAGTTGTTGAGAACTTATCTACCAGCTTTACTAGCATTATCTCCTATTCTTACCAGACCACTCACCCCCAAGCATGCCCTCAGCTTTCCATCTCCAGACTGCAAAATCACTCATACATACTACTTCTTCCTCTCTGACCCACTCAAGCTCCCTCACCCCAATGCCAATTTCCTCAGAGCCCATGGTGGTTAATAGTCACTCTTAACTTGATTAGCATTAGAATCACCATATACACACAGCTCTGGGTATGTTCTATGACAGTGTTTATAGAAAGGTTCAATGAGCCGGGCAATGATGGTGGCGCACGCCTTTAATCCCAGCACTCGGGAGGCAGAGGCAGGCCGATCTCTGAGTTGAGGCCAGCCTGGTCTACAGAGCGAGTTCCAGGACAACCAAGGAAATGCTGTCTTGAAAAACACAGAACGAAGGAAAGATGTAATAAGTTCAATACAAGAGAGGAGACCTACCCTGACTGTAGCACCTGAGGATGCAAGCCTGAGGACCTGAGTTCCATTCTCAGAAGCCAGGATAAGTTAGTAGATGACCGAGTTCACAAAGTTGTCCTCTGACTCCATACATACATGCCAAGATATGTCACCTCCCCACTCACGACAGTCAATAACAAATAAAATTCCCAGCACTCAGAAGGCAGCAGCAGGTAGATCTCTGAGTTCAAGACCAGCCTGGTCTACAGAGTTACTTCCTAGACCCTTTTTCAAAACAAGCCAACGTAACATAATAATTAAAGTTTAAAAGAGGTGTGGGGAGACAGCACTGATTATCCACTTCTCTGTCCTGACTAGCTGTAGTGTCTGTCACACAGCCCTGCTGCCTCCCTTTCTCGACACAATGGACTAAATCCCAACATAGATCCCAGCAATGAGCAAAGGATGAGCAGCACATAGGCCCAACTTTTAAAGGTGACAGGAAACTCAGGAGTCCACTCTGTTCTTCATTCTGTGGGTCCTTGAGACTGAAGCATGTTGTCAGGCTTTGCAGCAAATGCCTTTACCTGCCCAGCCAGTCTGCCAGCCGCAGGGGCCTTTCCTATCAGGCACACTCAAGGGAGAGTGACCACTCCAGAACTATCCTTCAGCAACATTAAAGGTCTTTAACTGGCCTCATGGAGCAGGCTGGTCATCCCAGCTGTTCAAGAGGCTGAGGCAGGAGGTTCAAAAGCACAGAACCTGTAATCCCAGCACACCAAGGGAAGTTCCAGACCAGCTGTGTTATAGAGTGAAACCCTGTCTCAAAACACAGAGAATTGAAAATACTAAGAAGAGGGCTGTTGTACGTACAAATTTACAAAAGAAAAGGGTTCTGCCCAGTCTCAGGTTAACTGTAGGGCTTCTGCTCCCCACCTCACAATCATTACAACATAGCTCTTCAGAGTGCGTGGTCTGGAACTGTTCACTTTATTCAGCAGCAATCAAAAATGAGTATCATATTTTCATCTTAACCACACACACCAGGACCCCAGAGGCTATAGCTTACTTATGGCTCAATTATATGAAAAGGGCTTAAAACACTACCTGGCACACAGTCAGCACTTAATGAAGTAGCTATTACTCATACTCCCTGAAGCAGCAATTCCCCTTCTAGGACTCAATCCTACATTAGCACAAAACTCATACACAAGCTTGCACAGTGGCAACGCACAACATACACAGCAATGTGGTTCATCATCTTCTCCCACTTGCCCAAACTGTATCCTAACCTACACAATTATCAGCTCTCGCCCGCACAGCTCAATAGCACCCAGGAGTGAGCAAGCACACAGAGTTCCAGCTATGTACAAAGCTGAGGCAGAAACATAAATTACTTGAACCCAGGAAAAATAAAGCAAGACCCTGTTTGTTTGTTTTTTTTTCCAGTTTTTCGAGACTGAGTTTCTCTGTGTAGCCCTGGCTGTCCTGGCACTCACTCTGTAGACCCGACTGACCTCGAATTCACAGAGATCCACCTGCCTCTGCCTCCCGAGTGCTGGGATTAAAGGCGTGCGCCACCAACACCCGGCCTGTTTCTTTCTTTAAAAATAAAGATTTTTCTGTTGTATTTGCTTGCATGGTTTTCTTTTTCTTTCTTTCTTTTTTTTTTTTTTTTTTTGGTGTACTACATGTGTGTAGGAACCTTGCCAGAAGTTGTAAGCTGCCATATGGGTACCAGGAACCAAATTCCAGTCTCCTGAGAGAGCAGTAAGTGTTTTTGTTTGTTTGTTTCCAAGACAGGGTTTTTCTGTTTAACAGCCCTGGCTGTCCTGGAACTCACTCTGTAGACCAGGCTGATCTCAAACTCACCGGCCTCTGGCTCCCAAGCATGCGCTGCCACCACCCTGCCCTGTTAGAAGTACAAAAACAGGGGGCTGGAGAGATGGCTCAGAGGTTAAGAGCACTGACTGCTCTTCCAGAGGTCCTGAGTTCAATTCCCAGCAACCACATGGTGGCTCACAACCATCCCTTATGAGATCTGGTGCCCTCTTCTGGTGTGCAGATAGACATGGAAGCAGAATGTTGTATACATGATAAAATCTTAAAAAAAAAAAAAAAAGAGAAGTACAAAAACAAAGGAGCTGTGGCTATAGCTCAGTTGGCAGAGTACTTGCCTAGCAGGCACAAAACACTAGATTCTTTCCCCAGCACACACTTGTAATCTAAGTAGAGACAAGGAGAATCAGCAGTTCAAGGTGATCAGACTGAGTATAAGGCCAAGATGGATTACAGGAGACCCTGTTGACCTAAATCCATTTGGCCTCCTTGCCCCCATTTGTCCCTTACTAGCCAGCCACTGATCAGCCCAGGAAGACCTCACAAGGTGAGTGAGCTACATGTGATCACACTGTTCAAAGCTCTGAATGGTGGTCTCTCTGCAGACTCCCCACTGGACACTCAATCCTGTGGACCCTCTCACCTCAGTTCTGCGTTCTTTCCACTGCTAAAGCCAAACAGCTTCGCTTTGCAGGAACTAAGGCTACTTGCAACAAAAGGCCCTGGTACAAAGATCCTATTTGCCCCCCTCCAAATTTAAACAAATGACCCATTCATTCGGTATCAGACAAAGTGTTACTTTCCTAGAAGCCCGAAATGACATTCTAATGTTTGTGGGGTATTTTTGGTTTTTTTTAGTTAGGAGAGATGGGACTGAGCTACTGAGCTCTTTTTTATGCAGTGCTAGAGAAGGACCTTGGGCTTTATACATGCTAAACAAGCACTCTACCAGCTGAACTATACGCCCAGAGAGGCTAACACAGAGGCTGCTTCAACAACCTATGAACCCACAGCATGCTTAAGTGACTGGCCAAAATTCAGATTAAACTTCAGTCACATAGTAAAGCTCTATGAATTATAATTGTGCTACAATACTAAAGTCCTCAGAGGGAAAAGGCTTAGTAAAACAGAAATTACTTGTTTTGTTTTTGAGACAGTCTCAAGTAGCCCAGGCTGACCTTGAACTCCTGGCCCTCCTTTCTACACCCACCTTGGAAGCACTGGGATTGTAATTATGCCCACTACACACCAATGAGCCAGTACTCCCAGCATCAGCAGGAGGACTGTTCCATTTTGATGCTAGCCTGGGCTACAATGAAACCCTGTCTCAAAGGAGAAAAATAAAACAATTTGCTGTGATTGGCTAGAAAGCTCCAGTGTTTGCACCCCAGGTGAAACACACATACCTAGCATGTGATTCCATAACTGTTCTCAAAACCTCTTGGGGATGTCATGGTTCAACATTCCTTTTACTTTCCCTCCTCCTTTTTTTTTTTAATTTTTAATTTTTAATTTTTCGAGACAGGGGGCTGGAGAGATGGCTCAGAGGTTAAGAGCACTGACTGCTCTTCCAGAGGTCCTGAGTTCAATTCCCAGCAACCACATGGTGGCTCACAACCATCCATTATGAGATCTGGTGCCCT